ACATTATTCAGCCCTTAAAAGGAAAGAAATTCTGACACATACCATGACATGGATTAACCTTGAGGACATTGTGCTAAATAAAATAAGCCAGCCACAGGAAGACAGATACCATATGATTCCCCTTATATGATGTACCTAGAGCAGTCAAATTAAGAGAAGAAAGTAGAGTGGTGGTTACCAGGGGCTGGCGGGGTGGGGAGTGGCAAGGAGAAGAATAGGGAGTTATAGATGAATGAATACAGAGTTTCAGTTTTGCAAGATGAAGAGAGTTTTGGAGATGGATGGTGGTGATGATCGCACAACAATATGAATTAACTTAATACCACAGAACCGTACACTTAAAAATGGCTAAGGTGGTAAATTTTGTATTATGCATATTTTACTACAACAAAGATATTCCCTCCACCCTGAAAGCTGACATATTTTCCTATAGGTTGCTCACCACATTTTCCAGTATTCATGGGATTAGCAGATGAAAAACTAACTGGAAGGTGCTGAGTGTGCCAGTGGGTGCCCCCTCTGTCCCCTGAAGGGCCCTTGGCGTCCAGCTCAGGGTGGCTGTATTGGAGCCGGGCTCTGGTCAGAGCGTTGGCCAGAGTGACAGAGCTGTCTCTCCATTTCTTTGTACTAATTGTATAGTCTTGCTGTCATCATCCATTAGATACAAAAGGAACTCACTTTCTAAATTCGTACCCACTTTTGTTCTGCTTTGGGAAAGTACGTAACTGACTAATCATGGTCCCCGTCCATTTATATTTTAGAGTTTACAGTTTAGACAGACTGTTTCTCTCTTTGTGAGTGGTTGGCATTCCTTTCTTTTGCTTTGTAAGTATTTGTTTTATTCTTCGCACTTTTGAAGTGGTTGCAGGGGGTGCTGAGATCCCTTTTAAGCTTTGGATGTTCTTCCTGTTTATTTTTAGTGATGACAAATTAAGCCTCCAAGCTTTCTGGTGATGTTCATGTGATTAATACGCCCTGCCCCGTGCTTTCAGCCCAGTGGGGGGTTCCAGGGCACCTTTTGGCTATTAGTGATATTCCTCTTAGTGTCTCCTGAGAGCTTCACATAGTCTTCTCAGGTGGTAGAAAGGGAGAGAGACTTCACTGCCAGCACCATTTCTAAATATAAACTTCTAATTTAAACAGGCTGTTAGAACTTCTCTTGGAAAGTTCATTTGTGAAAGTAGAGCTTTTAGTCGTTCTGTAAGCCATCCGGCTTCACTTACTTTATACCGACAATGCCATGTGGTCAGATTCAGAAAATAGCGTCATCTGTGGTGGCCCACTGATTGTGTGAGGCCAGAAGGTCTTTGGTGTTTGATGCTATAGAGCTTGGGACTAGCGGGTTCTCCCGTCCTCACGACTAGTTCTTGTGAACTGTGTGCCTTCAGGTTTCTTAAAATGTTACTGTTTCTGGTCCTTGGATTGGTCTTATTTGCAAAGGAAAAAAAAAAAGCCATGATGATCATCTCATTGATTTTGACAAAAGAAACTAATGAAGGAATGGAATTGGTGAATCTTGACTATTTGAGTTTTCAGTAGACTCAGCCGTATCTGGGTTGTCAGTGGGAGAGAAATCCATCCATCTATCCGTCCGTCCATCCATCCATCCATCCATCCATCCATCCATCCATCCATCCATTGGCCTAGAAGTTCTGTGTGGAGATGTGAAGGGTTGGTTTTAAGTTAGTGTAATATGGCAGCTTAACTGGGGACCATGGATAAGGTTTCAGGAGTCACCCTCCCTGAAATTTCCTGCAAAATCTATATGTGCATTTTTCTGGGGAGAGGATTCTATGTATAACTTCTGTCAGGTTTTCAAAGGGATCCAGGCCCCAAAGCTGTACAGAGCCTTCTGAAATGCTAAGAATACCTCATTGTGGCTGGGACTGTCCCCTGATTGGAGCTGTCACACTGCTAGAGTAGTACCTTTTGAGGACTTTAGGTGGCCCTTAGAACCTCCATTCCTAGTCCAAAAGAAGTGAGCAGTAGGGAAGGGGGAAGCACCGTAGACTCTATGGCAAACGCTGCAATGACGAAGGATTGAGTCCATTTTATTTCTGAAAAAAAATGTGCCCTCCTCAAGTGCTTGTTGATTCCCATAGTCCTGGGGAAGGGAGCCAACAGCATAGATTCTGGAGCCTGATTTCCTCAGTTCAAAGCCCATTTCCGCCACTTAGTGGGTGTGTATCCTTCAGCAAATTACATCATTTCTGTGTGCCTCTAGTGTCCTCATATATAAAATGGGGATAATAGAGTATTTGTCTCATAAGATTGTTGTAAGGATTAAGTGAGGTAATATAGAGTGCTTATGATGTGTGTGGTACATGGTAAGTGCTTCATAAATATTAGCTATTATAATGGAGCCAGTCCTTAGCCACATAAAGAATAGTAAAATACAGACCGTTCCATTTTACTAGTAAGATATGGACAGTTCAAAATTGTGTGCCTGTGTTGGTTGTTTTACACCTATCTCCCGAAAGTCACCCGCCTTCAGCATTTGTCTACCTATGAGCTGTTTCAAGTCAATTTGTGGTGCACCAACATCATGAAAGGTGAAAGAACGCTGTCACGTATCCTTTTAGCAAAATAGGATGGTTTGTGTTCCTGTCACAAAATGTTACATGAGGAGGTTCTTCTTGTTAAATGATTACCTGTGAAAACTGGGTGAGAATATCAGATTTCCTTTCTGTCCTTAGAAGTATATTGTGCAGCCTTTGATCCAAAATTTCATCTAGGATAAGGTCATTGAAGACTCATAGTCTGAGATTTCACTTATATAATCAATTTCTCCATCATCATTAAACTCTAGAGAGCCGCTTTCTATCTCTTTACATTCATCTTCTGACTCATCTAATGTGAAATGTCGTCTTCTGTCCGTTTTATTCTTTTTGCCATTACAGGTGGAAAATGGAAAACTATGAATTTTCAACTGTGTTCCATGAAAGCTAAGAAAGGATTGCAAAGATGGTATCTTCAGACTTCTTTTATACCTCCTTGAAAATGATGTAGTACTTAGGGCAGTGCAATGAGGAAAATGAAGGGTGATGTCGTAGTGAGGCTTATTTCACTGTTGTACCATCTCAGACAACCTTCTGTCATTCTCCTGCTTTCTTAACTTAGTCTTTTTTTTTTTTTTAATCATAGGTGGAAATAGTTGATGGGTAATGCTGAAATAATTCCTGCAATGGTAAAATAGCAGAATGTTTCAAGATGTTGGAAGACTAAGATCACTGACATCCCATATTGCATCTTAGATTTTTAAAAGGGTCCAGTGGATATATGGGAATTGTAAGGTAGAATGAGTTTTTGGAAAACCTCCAAGGAAAAATAAAAATCATAAAATAGCTGTTCTTACACATAGTCAGAACTGCTGAAAAAGAAACTCTAAACTATTATTGGATCCAGGGGACCCTGATGGTTTACTGTGGGTTAATCACACTTCTAATAAACCATCTGAAGGCAGTAATCTGAAGGGTAAAGATTAACATATGAAGACACTTATTGAAGTGTTTTTTTTAAGGTTTTACTGGGGAATTGGGGTGAGAGGAACAGCATTGGGGAGTCAGGGAAGGGGAACAGACAGGTAGACAAATTGCTGTTTTGTTCTTCAGTCTACTTGTGGAGAACGTCACTTCACTGGCCCATGTTGATATGATCATTGTGCTCTTCCTGGGTGAGGCAATCGGTCGCCGGTCATTGGTTGGCCACTCACAGCGGCTCCCGGCAGCTCAAGCTGGCTGCCAGCCACTCACGTAGCTCACAGCAGCCCACTGCAGCCCTGCTGCAGCCTACGCCATTGCTGGCGACTCACAGCAGCCCAGCTCCAGGTCGAGCTGTTGTTCATCATCTTAGCTACAGAGAGCGAGCGTCACTGGCCCTCAATGTGGGATCCGAACTGCAGCTCTGCTGCTCAGAGCTGGTGCTCCCAAGCGACCTCTTAACCAGCTGAGCCACTCGGCCAGCCCTAGAGTGTTTTTTTTTTTGTTTGTTTGTTTTTTAAATAGGAAGAAACCTAAATGTGTATGTAACATGGAGTAATAGGTTGATTTGGCACAGTATACCCAAATCTTATGTAATGGTTTAAAAGTTATATTCCGAGAAAGTCTGTAATGATAGGAGAATACAATCATGATAGAATACTATTAAATTTAGAAGAGCATAAAACAAAGCTGTGTATACAGTGTGAGGTCAACTGTGTAAAATGTATACATTGCATTGGTAGCAAATACATAAAATGTTAATAGTTTTTTTCTGGGTGATGTCATGATTTTTGATATTTAAATTTAATTATCTGTTATCTTCTAAAGTCTGTAACTAACCCATATTATTTATGAACAATGCAGATCTTTTTGTGATGTTGAAGCAACTATTCTTTTATTTATTTATTTTTTTAAAAATTTTTATTGGGGAACAGCCATGGTCATTGGTTACACATTGCTCTCATGCTACAATGGCATAGTTGACTCTTTTAGGGAGGGCGCAGCTCACAGTGGCCCATGTGGGAATCGAACCGGCAACCTTGGTGTTATCAGCATTATGCTCTAACCAACTGAGCTAAATGGTCACCCCGCAGCTATTCTTTTTTAAATAGAAGTTTTATTAAGATATTATTTACATATCATATAATTTACCCACTTAAAGTCTCTCATTCAGGTTTTTTAGTATATTCACAGTAGCTCTTTCACCATCACCATAATCAATTTTAGATCATTTTTATCATTCCCAAAAGAAATTCTGTACCCATTAACAGTCACTACATGTTTCCCTGTCCTCCCCAGTCCTAATAACCACTAATCTCTGTGCGTATGGATTTGCCTGTTCTAGACACTTCATAGAAGTGGTTTCATACACCATGTGGTCCTTTGTGACTGCCTTCTTTCGCTCAGCATGCTTTCACAATAACGCACATCACTCTTGCACTTTAGTTTGCTCATTTTCTTTAGAAATCACACTAACCCTTATTTATCATATGGTGTCATGTATTTTTTTTTCTCTCCTAGAGCTGGTTCCTTCTATTATGAACAACTTGTTGAATCCAGATGCCATTTTCTCAAACAATGAGATGAGCCTGTCGGACATAGAGATCTATGGCTTCGATTATGACTACACCTTGGTGTTTTATTCAAAGCACCTCCACACCCTGATATTTAATGCTGCGCGGGACCTTCTCATCAACGAGCACCGGGTAAGTGCCCAGGGGCATTGCCATCTTCCTCCCCTGACCCTTAGACATTGGAAGAATAGCTGTGAGCTGAGCTGACCTGGCTTCGTGGTGCCTGGTACATGGATGCTATTTAGTAAATGGTGGCTGAATCCATGAGCAGGCTTGTGCCATTCTAAATTACTCAACCAGATAGTTTTTTCTTTTTTTTTAAACCACTTTATGGAGGTATATGATTAACATGTAAGAACCTGTACATATTTAATGTAAACAGTTTGATAAGTTTGGGGATTATACACCTGTGAAACCAGCACCACCACCAAGGCCATCACCTTCCAAAGTTTCCTTCCTGCCCCCTTTATTATTATTATTATTATTATTTCCTCTGCCCATCACCTCCCCCTTCCTCCTCCTCCCTGTTAAGAACACTTCACACAAGATTTACACTCTTAGCAAACCTTAACCATACAATACAAAGTACTATATTGTTTGCTGTAGGTACCATGCTATAATAGATTTCCAGAACTTACTAATCTTGCATAACTGAAACTTTGTACCCAGAAGATAGTTCTTTTTTTTTGAAAAAAAAATCTGTAGGTGTCTCTCTGACAAAAGACTGTCCCAAGTTATGCATCAGCAGAGATCCACCTGCAGACGTTTGTGCTGTCATTTCTCCTGGAGCAGCGACAGTTTCTCCCAGAGTCTTGAGGGAGTGGTGGCCTGCTGAATTCTGGTCAGCAGGAGTTCTTCAAATGATAGGCAGTGTATTTTGTACTGGTCTCAGACTATCAATAACCTTGTTGTGGCTGGACCAGTCCTTGTGGTTTTTATTATCATTGCAAGATGCCCTTTAGCAATAGCCATCAGGAGACTTTGAAAAGAGTAGGGTTTATTATTTACAAGACCTAGAAATTACCCAGCACACCCGGGGTCACACAGCGAGGTCGGGGATAGAGAGAGAGCACGAGACAGATAGCCCCCAGACAGTGCCATGCATAGGCCTGGGGTTCTGCTTTTATTGGGGTTGAAGGTTGCGGGGGGGGGGCTACGGTTTCCTGGGCTCATTCTTTATTGGTGAATTTAAAACATATGAGCAGGAATTTAAAGCACGGAAAGAAAAAACAAACAAGTAGCCCAAATGGTCACTTGTTGAAATCAACCAGGATCTCTAAACAAAGGAGCAACAGGAAGGGGAGGTGGCCTGACTCTCTATCTAGTCCTGTGCCTGGCGATGTGTTCATTAGAGATTTGAAGCAGAAGCCTCTTTTTTTTTTTTTTTTTTAAGATTTTTATTGGGCAATCGGGGAAGGGGAACAAGACAAGTTGCTGCCCTTTTATTCTTCAGTCTAGTTATGGAGGATGTCACTTCGCTGGCCCATGTTGGTATTGTGATCATTGCGCTCTTCCCGGGTGAGGCAGTTGGTCGCTGGCCATTGGACGGCAGCTTATGCCAGCTGCCAGCCGCTCACGCTGGCTGCCAGCCACTCACGGCAGTCCCACTGCAGCCTACACCGTCACTGGTGACTCACTGCAGCCCAGTTCTAGGTTGAGCTGTTGTTCACCCTCTTAGCTGTAGAGGGCACAGCGTCACTGGCCCATGTGGGATCCGAACTGGCGGCCCTGCTGCTCAGAGCTCACGCTCCAAAGCCAACTCCTAACCAACGCGCCACTCGGCCGGCCCTCTTAGTTCTAGTTCTTTTAACCATTCTCGTTGGGCCTCTTTTCTAGTCTTTTCATCACCTTGGTCACCCTCCTTTGTGTGTGCTCTGGTTTTTCCCTCTCAGATGTGAAGGCCTGAACTGGAGAGGTTACTGCAGGTGGGGTCTGACTAGTGTGGAATAGAGGGAGGCCATCACCTCCCTGGTTCTGGATACCATACCTTTATTAACGCCGCCGAAGTGTCCATTAGTTTTGGATCTTCACCCTTTGATGCAGTATATTTCCTGTTCCCGTCAGCTTTTGATTATCAGTGCTTTTAATAAACAACTTATTTTGTCCTTATTCAAAATGCAGAAATGGCATTTGCCAAAAGTAACATTCCCTTCAGCCACAGCCGACTTTCTTTAGTTATGGCCACTTTACCAGATGTAAACCCATCTGGCCGCTTGCCATGTAGACGCATTTCTGTATTTGTTCAAGAGACTTCTCTTCTGTCTAACACACGGTCCTTTCTCTCCACTGTGAGGATGGAAGCAGAATAAGAACCAGGTGGTCCTGCCCTTGTTCTCCTGTCTGCCGACCTCCACCCCCTCTCCACCACCTCACTGGGAGATCGAGCCAAAGGGGTGCATTGGTGCTGGCATTCCAGTCCCAGGTCGTCTGCAGCATTTGCTGGGACTCTAACATCACTTATAAAATAAAGGTCATTGTTACTAACAGCACCGTCTGTTGATGGACGGCTAGGTGCCAAAAGCACAGGTTCTAGAGCCTGCCAGCCGGGGATCAAATCCTGGCTTCCACCACTTATTTCATAGGTAATCTTGAGAAACTCACCCAATTTCTTTGTGCCTCAGTTTCTTCCTCTGTGAAGTGGGTATAGTAACAGTACTTTCCTCATGATGTTATTTTGATAATCGCATGAGTTAATTTATGTAAAGAGCCTGGCACATAGAAAACACTCAGTAAATGTTAGCTATTACTACTATCATTTCTAATCTGCATGACAGCCCTGCAAATAGATATTGTCTCTGTTTTACAGCTAAGGAAACTGAGGTTTACGGAGTTCAAGGCTGCAAGACCAGTAGGAGGCAGGACCAGAATTTGAGCTTAGATCTGTTTATTTCCAAGGCACAAATGCTCTCTCCTTTATGCCACATTGCTCCTTGTGGAATTAACACCTTTCGTTTCTACCCTGTGGGTTTATTGTTCATATGAAAATAAAATATTCATGAAGATTAAAAATTTCTGAAGATAAAATATTTATGAAATTTTTGGGGAAAAAGAGATGAAATAGATGGGAAGAAAGGTGCAATCATTATGATGAGAAAAGCTTCTGGATTTAGGACCACTGAAATTTCACTCCCATTATGTCTGTTTGTTGCTTTGATAAGTATGTCATAACCCTAATTATATCAGGCATATTAATAGAGTCAATTAAGCTTATGCAGATTTTTCTTTTTGGATTTGAAAAACTTCTTCTAAGATGCTGTTGGAAGTGCTGAGTTTGGTGCCGTTTTTCCTGCCAAAGACTAAATGTACTAGAAATGGAAAGACATCTGCTTTAGAGATGCACAGTAATAGAACAGTTAAGTTTGTAATTTAGTATCTTCCCAAAGTGCAAGTGTAAAAGTTCCAGCTCCTTCTTAATTACCCTTTTTTCTTTATTTACAAGAACAAGTTTTTACAAACATAGAAATAAAAAATATTGGGTGATAACTGTACCTGTTTCGTCATTTCGCGTGTCCACCAAAGGATAGAGAGTGTTAGAAGAATTTTTTATTGCATCTCCCAAATTCGCACCCTCATCAGCGTTCCTTTTCATTAATCACCACCCACGTTCACCCGGTTTTTCAGTCCAAAGCCTACCGTCAGCTGTGACCCCCACTTTCTCCTGTATTCCGCGTCTGATGTCTCAGCAAATGCTGTGAGTCCTCTCTCTCCGTTTATAAGCAAATGTTTAATTTTAGAAGAGTTTTAGGTTTACAGAAAAGCTGCAAAGGTAACAGAGCTCCTGTGTATGTACCCCGCCTGGTTTCTTATCCCTAATGTTGACATGTTACATTACCGTGGTACATTTATCACAGCTAAAGACCCAGTATTAATGAATTATTAACTAAAGTCTATACTTGATTCAGATGTCCTCAATCCAGGATCCCATGCAGGACACCCCATTGCAATTATTTGTCATATGTCCTTAGGCTGCTCTTGGCTTTGACTGTTTCTCAGGCTTTCTTTGTTTTTGATGACCTTGACAGTTTTGAAGAGTACTAGTTGGGAATTTTTTAGGATGCCCGTCTCTTGGGATTTGTCTGACGTTTTTCTCATGTTTAGACTGGGATTATGGGCTTGAAGGAGGAAGACCACAGAGGTCAAGTGCCGTGTTCCTCACATCTTACTCGGGCTCCATGCCGTCAACATGACTTGTCACCGGTGCTGTTGGCCTTGATCAAGCCTGGCGGTGGTCTCTCCACTGTACAGTTACTCTCTTCCCCCTTCCCATGCTGTACTCTTTGGGAGGAAGTCACTCTGTGCAGCTCACTCATTCAAAAGCTAATCCATTCACAGTGTGTCCTGACCCCGTCCACTCCTCGCCTCCACCACTGCCACCACCCTGGTCGAGGCCACCATTGCCTCCCACCTGACAGTGCCCCAACCTCCTGACCGATCTTCCCCTTTAGGTTGCTCTCCATTCGGCAGCAAGGGGAACCTTTAAATATTAATCACGTCACTCGTGGGCTCAACCCCACCCCCGGAGCCTCCCTACCACACTTGGAGTGCCGTGGAGGGCCTTCCGTGCTCCGTGGCCCCCAGCTTGCTCGCCGAGCCCTCCCCCACCTGCTCTCGCTCTGCTCTGGCTGCACCACCAACCTCCTTGCTGCTCCTTGAACTGCCAGACACGTTCATACCTTTGGGCCTTCGCACTTGCCATTTCCTCTGTTTTGGAACGCCTTTCCTGGCCCCAGGCAGCCTGAGCCTTGCTTCTCTTTTTTTTTTTTTTGAGATCTCTGAACTCTTAACACTGCATTTTCCTTATAGTACTTATCACTACGTTGTGTGTATATTTGCTTATGGTCTGTCTCCCCTGAGTAGAATGGAAACTTCTCAGGGGCAGAGACTGTGTTGGTTTTATTCATGGCCATATTCCTAGTGCACCAAGTACGTGCTCCGCAAATACTCGATATCTCTGTTGAATTCCACAGTTAAGTGAGAGTGTTGTGCTGGGTGTGGAACTGCCACTCTGATGCGGGTCATTTTGCTCTCGCTTCTTATTTTGTGTGGGTTTGGAGAGCTTTGTTTTTATGTTCTTCTACCCTGTCTCTAATTAGACTCATAATTTAGGCTACTTTAAATACCATACTGGGCCCTCTGAAAAACGGGTCTATTTATAGGCACTTGAACTTCGGGAACTCACGGGCAGTGTTGCAATGTCGAGGTCACTGGCTGTGGCCAGAGCTCTGTCATTAGCCAGGAAGGGGCGTAAGGCCAAGCTGCAGGACTAGAAATTACACACACGGGGAGCTAACACGTGGCTTTCCACAGTGTTTTAGTCTTAACTTTCCTTGAAGCTGTAAGGGGACGTTTCTGTAGCATTTTCAGGGGGACACCTCCATCTTTGCCCCTGCACACCAGCCTGTCCAGATTACACCTGGAATTGGAACAAATCCAGGTACTGAAGGAAACCAACTAGGTCAAATAAGAACATTTTTAATAAAAATAGCAAGTAAAAGTCTATTATCTTTTATATTTCTTCCTGCCTTTAGGAATGCCAGTAATCTTCATGACACATTGGATGAGTCATGTTTTCAGGGTGGCGGAAAGTTTCTAAACTATGAGGAGTCCAGAAAATCTAGCCACAGGCCATTGGAGAGAAGGGGGACCTGGCTGATGTGAGCAGCTGTGCCATCCTCAACCGGATATGACTGTTGCTGATTAATCCTAGAGATGCTGCCTGTGCATGTGCGTGCGTGCGTGCGTGCGTGTGTGTGTGTGTGTGTGCGCGCGCGCGCGTGCGTGCATGTGTGTGTGTTGGATAGGGGCCCATCAAGAGAACATTTTAAACTCAGCTACTTGTATGGGGAATCAGTTTAGGGGTAGGAGTGGAGCATAGAAGTCATCCTGGTCCAACCATTTCATTTTCCACATGAAGGAAGAGGCCTGGAGAGCTTAAGCCACTCACCTAAACACCTCCAGGAGAGTAGAGTAGCAGAGGCTAGTGAGGCCGGCCTAAAAGCCCAGGCCTCCTGATTCCCATGCAAAGCAACTCAGTTTTCTTGAGCACTTGCTATGTGCCAGGGACTGCCCTGACTGCCCGCAGGCCTCTTTTGGCTTGATCTTCTCGGCTTTCACGTAGGGTAGGACTCTTGCTATTTCTACTGTGGTGATGAGAAAACCGAGGCTCAGAGAGGCAGGTAGCACATAGTAGGATTAGGATTTGATACCTGGTCCCTCAGCCCTGGAGCCTGTGTTTTTCATGACATTGTCCCGTGGAGGCTCTTTCAGCTGCTTCTGTCAGTTCTCCAGGTCGTCTGCTGTGGTCTCCGGACCATTTGAAAACCATTGTGTATCTATGAGGAGTGGTGCCCCAAGAATACACAGTGAGAGCGACAGGCAGGGGGACGTGAGTGGGTGTGGGGCCGCGTCTCACTTGGACATTTGTGTCCTGCTGGGGAGCCCAGATAAGCCCTGTTTAAGGAAGGAGGCCCAGACTTTCAGCAGTCCATGTGCAGAGTGTATGTGCTCTTTCTCTCTCCTTCACGTACTGTCTCAGCGAAAATAGCTGGAAACCATGAGTCCTCAGCAAACTCGGCGGCAGTACCGGCTGACACAAGAGGCCATGAGCGTCTGGTGTGGTGGCTCAGGGCTGGTTCAGAATTGATCGCAGGGAGGTTGGAGTGGACTTGGGTGCGACATGGATCTGGGTTCGAGTGCTGGCCTGATATCTATTTATCTTTGTGAGCCTGGGACGGTTCCTTAACTCTACTTCTCAGATTATTCCACAGTAAAATGGACACGAGGTGCCGGCCCTACCTCCTTCATGCCGGGTGAGTGAGGAGTAAATACAATGAAGTCACAGAAAGTGTCTAGGACAGGGTGGCACATGGCCAAGTCTCAGGAAAAGCCCCTCTCAGTAACTTGTTAACTAGCTCCCTCCCTTACTCGTCACTCCCGAGTTGAAAGGAGGCTCGTGAGGTGGGGAGACCCCTGGCCTCACCTCGGTAAGCAGGACTGTGGTACCGTGGGTTGGGTTCTGGGTGTATGTGTGTAAGAAGCATGCTGGTAAAAATGCAGAACCTTGCAGTGTTCGGAATTCTTGGGAACGCCCCCTCGGTGGAAATATCTAATGTGATTTCTTGGCACGTGTGGCAGGTGTCAGGTAAATGAGCCCGAATGTGTCCTTCGGGTCGGCACTTTGTGCAGCTTGAATTGGAAACCTACCCCATGTGGTTCAGCCTGGTGGTACCAGGAAACATCTCACCCCAACATGACTCTGGCCATGAAACGCTAGCAGTGCAGCCATACAGAGAGGTTTCCTGTGCATCTTGACCTTTGCCTGGCTTTTCCTTAAGCAGTTTGCATCGTGATTGGAAGATCTTGGTGACACAGCCTCCCTAGAGTCAGGAGTAGATACTCTGTCCTGCAGGTCTGTGCTCTGAGGGTGGAGGGTGTGGGCAGAGCCCCAAGCCTGACTCCTTCCCTGCCCACCACACCCCGGCATGGTCCAGGCCAGGGTGGTCCATCCGGTGCCTCTGATGTCCCATCTATAAAATGGGAATAGCAGGGCCTGCGGTGCTTGGGACATTGAGCTGTCAGCGGGGTAGCTGGTGTTCTAATTCTGCGATTCGGGGAGGGGGAAAAGGACTCAGATGCCTGGTGTAGCAGATAAGTGGGGAGCTGGGATTGTTACCGAGTTTGAGGAATGGTTTAATAACCAGGAAATACCAGGGGAGCCCATCTGCCTCCAGAAGTCGTGCATGTTGTGAGTCAGTGCTGGAGCAATAACTGGTGCTGAGAAAGGGCCTCTCCAGGCCCGAGTGGGAGGGACCTGTACTGGTTGCCTGTGGAAGGTGAGCAGTGGACTGCTGTCCAGATGAGAAAAGTGGTGAAAGCTAGATGGAGGGGCTCTTTTGAGAAATTTTCAGCTTGGGTCTCTATAAACCTGGTAGTGGGGCCATTGGGGGCTGTGACATGGAAGTGCTCGCTGATGAGCTGAATGGATGGTTGATAGTGTGTTAAGGGAGGTAGAAGCAGATATGTTTCTGGGGTCTCAGGGATCTGGGAGTCCAGGGGCAGAGGGAAGGGAGAGGAGAGGGCAGTTAAGACAGGAGAAATTGGGGGGATAAGGCTGCATCTGTGCTGGGCAGATAAACAGAGTGGTGCAGGAGGGAGGGCTCTGGGGCCAGGGGGCTCTTGATCCGTACGCAGAGGGACATGGTGTGGTCTATCCCTTCTCACCTTCCCACCAAAGTGCAGTAGCCACCTCGGCCTTTGTCCAAGGACCAAATGTAGACACTACTTTGAACTCAGTACAGTGTTAGCTAAAACTGGTTCCTTTCTTCCTTCTTAGTATCCCGTGGAAATCAGGAAGTACGAGTACAATCCAAATTTTGCAATTCGTGGACTTCATTATGATGTGCAGCGGGTAGGTTTAATTCTCATGTTTTCCTGCAGTTTAAAGGTGTTTGGGAATAAAATGTACTCTTGGTGTTTTTCTTTGCTGAACATATAAATTAATTTTAAATTATGTTCTTTGGGGCTGCAGAACTGAATTATTCAAAACACCTTTGGATTAAGTCCTTTTCTAATACTATGTGTTAGAAATTCATGAATGCATTTAGCAATTTGGGAGATACCATTTATTTCTGGTAGCTTTTTGGTGTTTTGAGGTGGGGCCAGTTGTCATAGCTTTTTTTTGCACATAGGCCATTTCCTTAATGAGTTGCACAGAGCTGTCATCAGCAAGCAAATCTCTCAGAAACGTACAGTGTGCTTCCTTGTTATGACAACTTACTGTTGATATGATTTATAAATGACACCACAATTCTCATTACATATGCAAATTGTTGTGCGTTATTTACCGGTGCCTGTGTTTATGTTTTTGAAGGCAGTATTGATGAAGATTGATGCTTTTCATTACATCCAGCTGGGAACTGTCTACAGGTAAGCGTATAAGGAGGCAAATTTAATTCACCCAAAGTAACCAAGTGGCTTTGGGCCTCAGGACCCACTGACTGACTGTTCAGGGATGAGGAGAGCGGCTGTGTGTATCTTTGTGAATCATTCCCTCCCTCCTCCTTCATTTGAGAACATTGGGGCCTCCTACCATGCTAAATGCTAATGGTTTGGCTCGTAAGGGTGTTCTCAAGGAGCTTGGGGAGAAGGCAGGATGCCCCCCAAGGAACCCAATGACTGCAGTCCAGGGGTGACTAAGGTGATGGTGGATGTGTGCTAAGACGACTGTGGAGCTCTCTGGAGGCTCTGAGGGAGGACTGGCCTTCCTCCCAGAGGTGACACCGGCCAGCTGAGTTAGTGTCCTGGAGAGGAGGTTTGGGTGGGGAGGGATGCTGGGGTGAGAGAACGGGTTCTTGTTCCCGCCGTGGTAGTTGAGTAGTTTGGATATTAAGACTGTTTTATTTTCCTGTTTATTAGAATTAGTAGAAGCACGTAGCTCAGTCAGAAATCTTTGGAACTTTGAAAATGAAGGGTTTTGTTTTTTCTAATTCTCAAATTTGGGGGTGGGATTTAGGAGTGTGGTTTGTGTTCAGATTCATATATCGTACCTTAAAAAAAAAAGAGGTGTGCATATCATAGTTTCTTCTCTCACAAATTCTTTGTTAAAATTAATATATATATATATATATATATATAT